AGTCATTCGAAGGGGCTGCCCAGGGAGGTGGTTGAGTCACCAGCCCTGGAGGTGTTTGAGAGACGTGTAGCTGTGGTGCTGAGGGACAGGGTTTAGTGGTGGACTTGGCAGTGCTGGGTTAACAGTTGGACTCAATGATCTTAAAGGTCTTTTCCAACCTAGAAGATTGTATGATTATATGAAATTATATCTAGATATACATTTATATATATAGATAGATACATAAAAGAGCCAGTGACAGAGCCAGGTTATTGAACCTCATTGTGCCTTAAGTCTCAAAAATAGTATTAAAACTCCCACTGTAATGTGCGGAAAAATGTTCTAAATGAAAGGTTCTAAGTTGTGCAAAACACTGTTCCAGCAGGAAGAGTCTTGCACTGTGAAGTATTAAGTACTTAAAATTGTCATACTGGCTATTTACTTCCATCTGCTTCATGAGTAAAACATATATGATGGGTCTGATCTTTACATTTTGAAATGCATGATCTGTGCTGTCAAAGGATGCTACTGCACTTAGGATTCAACATTTTACAGTTGCTACATCTTACACTTTGTACGTCATGCATCCTAAAAGCAACATACTGCCAGGACCTGCCATACTGTTAACAGTGCCTCAGACTACTGCAGTTGGATATACCAATTTTAATCACTGTTAATTTTAACTAATCCTACAAAATATTATTTGGTGGTGGCAGTTATTCCCAAAATTAATTACTTCAGGAAAAGCCTCATTCAGTCTTTGAGCAAGTATTGCTTGGCATTAGTACGGGAAAGGAAGAAGATTAGAATAGATGAACGTTTATAGTGCAAAGAATTAATTTTTGGTGATATTTTCATTATTTTAGGTTGCAAGACACCTTGCTTTTCTGAACAAAGAACTTGAGGAAGTGTGCCCACATCATATCAAGTCCTGCAAGTAGCTAATAAACACACTGACCACCTGGAGCACTTGGGGTCAGAGTTTCATTTGTATGAAAAGCAAACACCTCCTCCAGCAGATCTCTCCTCTCGGATCCCTGCCTTATGGGCATAAGCAGAGAAGCAAATCAAAGACCAAGTTGGGTGTGGCATTGGCTTATAAGAGACAAATTAACATCTGAATTCCTCCACCGCCAGACAGTATAGAGGTAGCTGCCTGCGTTAATCAGTGTGTTGGGTGCAGTTCTGCCCGCAGGAGCAGAAGCTGTAAGCAAAAGCCGTGCAGCCCTGCACAAGTGGAGCTGAAGCGCAACGGTTTGTGCTTAAAGCCTGATGCATGAAGACGTGCACTTGGTAGAGGCAGCCTTTCCAGTCTTAGCCCTCTCTTCCAAGACCAAACTTCGCACAAGGCAGTAAAACTCCCACGAAGTATTTGATTTAAAGGTCTCACTAGGGTCCTCTAAAACTAACTGCCATAAGTAGGCAATATGACAACCTTAGAGTAGAACAAGAAATAATGGAATGCAAATGTAATTCTTAACTCAGGGGGAAGAGGAAGAATCAGTTGGCAATACAGTCCCGAGTGTAGAATTATGATGTATCAGCTCTGTTTTGTTCTTTTTCTTACTACCGTTGAGGATAATTGGGTTAGAGATCAATTAAGCAAACTGAACATCTACAGATCCATGGGCCCTGATGGGATGCACCCACGAGTGCTGAGGGAGCTGGCAAAAGTCATTGCTAGGCCACTCTCCTTGGCCTTTTAAAAGTCCCAGAGAACAGGAGAGGTGCCTGAGGACTGGAGGAAAGCCAATGTTACCCCACTCTTCACAAAAAGCAGGAAGGGGGACCCATGTAACTATAGGCTGGTCAGCCTCACCTCCATCCCTGGAAAGATGATGGAACAACTTATTCTTGGTGCCATCTCAAAGCATGTTGAGGAAAGGAAGCTTATCATGAGTAGTCAGCATGGATTCAACAAGGGGAAGTCATGCCTGACCAATCTGGTAGCTTTTTATGATGGCATCACCAGATGGACAGACAAGGACAAGGCAGTGGATGTGGTCTGCCGTGACTTCAGCAAAGCTTTTGACGCGGACTCCCATGGCATCCTCACAGACAAGCTTGGGAAGTATAGACTGGACCATTGGGCAGTGAGGTGGATCGGGACTTTGTACATGGGCCTGTAGTGACAGAACAAGGGGGAACAGGTTTAAATTGAAAGCGGGGAGGTTCCGATTGGATATCAGGAAGAAGTTCTTCCTGGAGAGGATGGTCAGGCACTGGCACAGGTTGCCCAGAGAAGCTGTGGATGCCCCATCCCTGGAAGTGTTCAAGGCCAGGCTGGATGAGGCTTTGAGCAACCTGGTCTAGTGGAGGGTGTCCCTGCCCATGGCAGGGGGGTTGGAACTAGATGATCTTTAAGGTCCCTTCCAACCCAAACCATTCTATGATTTATTCTGTGATTCTACTCCAGGTGATCCTGCTCCGGCAGGGGGGTTGGACTAGATGATCTCTAGAGGTCCCTTCCAACCCCTTCCCCTCTGTGAATGTGAATAATCAGAGCTGTTAGAGCCGAGAGGAGAGGTAGGCCATCACAACTCTACACGTTAGTCATGCTTGCTTTTATCCATCTTAAACGCAGGGCCATCCCTTTAGGGTAAGTTTTACAAACCTACAGACTTCTGAAATGTTGACGTGGATTCCACAGGAGCTCTTAAGGACCAACAGCTGTAAGAGGCAGCACCCAGAAGGCAACTGTTCTCTTTCCTCACAGGAACACACAGCCTTCAATAGGCCAGTTTAAGGGAGGCTTACTTTCCTTCTGCACAGACTCTAAGGGGGACCTTATACCCTACCTCTTCCTTTTCATCACCAACACAAGCAAGACAATCAGCTATCTGTTTTATTTTTCAGGACATTTATTTTGTAGACAAAGTGTTAAAAGCCAAGGAAAAGGGAAATTTTTCAACATTTCCCCGAACCAACATTTTCTAAATTCACATGAAGGCTGAGTTATTCTACTCTTGCACTTAACAGTTCACGTAGAGTAAATTGAAGGCACTGGAATAACAAGCTTTTTCAGCCACAAAACAATTTCCTTTAAAAGCTTCCATAGTATGAACAGGCTTTGCTGTTTTGTATTCGAGGACCAGGCCTTCTCCCATTTCAGTTTTAATTAGTTTGGTGTCGACAGCTTTACCAGCATTGCCAAAATGAGTACTTAGTCTTATAACAGCTTTGGAGGGAAGGCCAGGAACCAGAGCTTTCAGGTCTATCGTCGATTCCTGCCCAAAATTGAGAACCATCATAAAGACGCTGTCTAATCCATCCAATTCCCTCACATACGCAAACACGTTACTGTCGTTCCAGGCGAAGCACGTCCAACCCCGCTGAATGGGGAGCTCCTTGTTGCGAAGGGACGTTAACTCTCTGTACAGACTCAGGGTGGAGTTGGCCCACGTCATCTGGATCTGCAAGAGACAGCGTGAACGGGGTCATGTCTGCACCGAACGCAGGAAGTACTGCTCGCCTCACACCCAGTCTGCCCAGAGCACCCCTGTTCAATCCCAGTTTTGGCAATTACCTCTTCAAATTTGTCTGCAAATGCCACTGAAAAAACGTTTTCTCTCCTGCACTTGGACACTTGTGGAGTGGCAGAGACAGAGGTTTTTAGGCACAACAGAATTTTCCCAGCACTAACAATATTTATTCCTTCCACAATCTCCTTAAAAGTACTGTGTTCTCGGAATTAGGCCACAGGCAAAGTTTGATACTGAGCTTTCTTCATTAACCTACTGAAGTCACAGGGTTTGTTTCATGTTTTGTGTTTTTCCTGGCTTAGCTTTATTTTCTTTTGCCTGCAGTTCCGGTCAGCACCCTAGCTCAGCAAAATCTGTTGGATTCACTGCTCGGCTGCCTTGAAAAAAAACGTATTTACTCACGTTAGACATGGTGCACGTGAAGCTGTTACTTTCCACAGGAAAAGACAAGATTTAATATTAAAATGATTAATCATTCCCAATCATCCCTTTAAAGAGCCAAATTGCCACATCTACATCATAACTGCAGTTGCTCTGCTTAAATGAATATAGATGAAGTAGGCTCCTTGCTGGTGCAAGGATTTCTTTTTCTAATAAAATTTTGAGGATTCAGTGCTTTTTTAATTTTCTTCCCTGGAGTTTATTCTTATCAGCTGCACTGCCAATTCCCACTAACTAAAAGAAGTCGGAGCACACCAGACGCATTACGAGACAGAGGCACAGGTATAGAGATACCTACCTCTACGTTCACCCTGCGGTAGTCGGAGTGAACAGGTAACCAGCTGCTGTTGCCGTCAGTGAAGCCAGCGTTACCTTCGCCATCCCACTGCATGGGAGATTTCTCCGGAAAGGTCACCTAGGAAATAAAGCAGTGTCAGAGCCACGGCCAAGGAGTTACTTCTTTGGATTAGTACAGCAAGAAGTTAGCCCTTGCACAGCAGGCGCTCACAGCTGCGAAACGATCCCCGTTCAGTACTGCCCTCTTTGCTTCAAGTTAGGAGCTAGTAAGGAGGCTGTAATCCTGCTCGTCTACAGAGAAAATGAGAATCAAGACAGTTCCTGAAATGCAGAAGAACGGATGGCCTCAGGGATGCAGCATCACTGGGAAAACGTGGGATTCCCCAGTGGCTCCAGTAGAGCTGCCTCCCCTTGCACAGGCAGCTGGGTAGGAGTTCACTAGTGACGGGTAGGATGATGTTCCAGTAGTATCTGGACACACTGCGAGTGAACATGTGAGGTGAAGAGTCCTAAGGAGAGCAGCTGCTAAAGTAACTGTAAACAACGAGTAAATGCCACTCAGCGTCTGCTCCTTTGTAACTATCACACTTGTCACCTTAGAACTCCTTGAGCTTATGTTTGCAAGGGGGACGGTTCGGACAGGATTACTTGCATTAGAAAGATAAAATTATTTCCAAGTGCAAAAACTTCATTGAAAACCAGCTGTTAGCTGATTAAAAAGTGTTGGTGGAAAAAGCCTGAAGTTCTCATTTTGAAGGATTCAGAGGAATTCTGAAAAAGCTTCCTCATTGTTACTGAAGAGCTTGCCAAAAGATCTGACACTTAAATTTAATGATATAAGAGGGCATAAAATATTTTGCACATACTTTGGGTGTTTGTTTTCCATGAGAACTGTTTTTCATATAAAGGGCACTTTTCAATACCATCTGTCAGAACAGCAGCTCAACAAAAGAAACTGTCACTTTGCTTTGTGACATTATAAATAACGGGTTTCTCCTTTTAGCATGTTCTGAAAAGCAGGAGGGAAAAAAAAAAATCCTAAGTTTTCAACACCGGTAACACTCCCTTTCATCTTTACCTCTCTTCGCTTCTCTTGAAGTGTGTCAAATGCTGGGGCTAAAAACTATGCCCTGAACAAATACTATCCATCTTTCTAAGGCACCTGCTAATGAGGGAATCCTCCTCTCCAGGCAGAGTGAAGAGCAGTTCCGTATTGTTACCAAGTCACGAGCCAGAGTGAACCCTGAGGAGCCAAGGGCAAGCGGCTTTTCTGAAGAGTGTCCTTCTGCCAGCAGTCAGCAGCAGCAGGAAGAAAACACAGGACCTCGCTGTGTCTCAGAGGAAATGGGATTCCCTTTGCAATCACAATCGTTTCCTCACATCCGAATGAGACAAACCTGGTGATGATCCTGTGCTTCTTCAAGTACCTCTTTAAGCCGACACCGTCGGTACCACCACCAGAGGCTGTCTCATTCCCTAACAGAGGCTTTCCACAACGAAACCGCTGTCTGCCACAGGACCGTATTCCCATGGTGCTCAAACATGGTCGCAAGAGGCAGAGCTGAGCCACTCCCGTTTGGGCATGGCCTTTTCCAGCCCTGCCCGTACACCTTGGATGAGAAGACACAATGAAGTCACTTATGATCATGGAGAACACAAGAAATTACAGGGGCTGAACCTGAAAACCCACATAGTCAGCACAGTGAGAGGCACGGGCAGGGTTTTAATCCCTTGACGTTGAATAAAATCACAGAATCACAGACTGGTTTGGGTTGGAAGGGTCCTTAAAGACCATCTAGTTCCAACCCCCCTGCCATGGGCAGGGACACCTTCCACTAGACCAGGTTGCTCAAAGCCTCATCCAGCCTGGCCTTGAACACTTCCAGGGATGGGGCATCCACAACATGAGAGAGGATGTGGCTCAGGTGCCTCTGTACAGTCAGAGCAAAGCAGCCTGCAGGAGGTGGTGACTGCAGATGCGCTCTTCTTATGAACTCCCATTTCCTTTAAAACAGCCAGGAAATAACGGGACTGTGACAGCCATTGGGGTACTTCTGTGGGAGGAAGGAGAGAGACACTGACTTGGCTCCTGTCGCCTCGGATGACTGCGACACCCTGCTCCCGGTGTTGGCACTTGCTGCCCTTTCTGCTGAGGCAGAGCAAGGCCACTGCACACCATGCAAGGCTGATCTGGCAGAAGACGGAAATCGGGGACCCTGTAAGCTTAGCAGTTCAGACATGCATCAAGGCCTGGTTCTGGTCTCTGGCCTGGCCCCTTCCACATGTTATCCAGTGGTTTTGTTGGCTTTGAGAAAGTACGGATTTGGTAACTAAACAAGAGGTCTTGTATTTTTGAAAGTTCTGTTACTCAGAACTAAGCAACAGGATTGGGGTTCACAGGCTCTTCGCTTACGTTCTCTGATGCGATGTTCTCCATGCCGATCTCTTCCCCGTAGTAAGTCACGGGAGTACCAGGGAGGGTTAAAAGCAGCATGTTCATAACATTGACATACTCCTTCCCAATCCGAGATGAAATCCGAGCAGCGTTAGGGCTTCCAACCTGAGGAAAATACCACTCTGTCAAAGACACATTATAAAATCCCACACATACATGGGGCTGGGCAACTAACTTAACAAGGTACCAGGGTTTTTTTGTTTGCTTTCTCTCCCTTCCAGGCCTGTGAGGGCAACTGTCGTTATCCTGGCGTCAGCACAAACTTCTGCCCCAAGTACGTTAGCCCATAAAAGCCCTACAGCAGCACACAGGACAGAAGTGAGGGGAGATGACAAATAACTCCCCACCGTTAAGGGTCTCGGATTTCTGCCACTCTCTGCTGTGCAAAGGTGGCGCTTGTGGTGAAGAGATGGTGGGCTCGAGCCCACCTTTTCCCTGGGCTGTGAGAAGGTGGCAGCCCCGAAGGAAAGTGCCCCCAAGGCAGGCACGCTTGACTATGGGACTGGAACAAGAAGGGTCTGAGTACAGGAAGGGACACAGTGACACACGAGTAGCTGCAGCCCCACGTGGTCAGCAGACAGACTGGTTGCCTTTTTCTGAAAGCCAGAACAGGGGAAAGCTGCTTCTAAATATTCTCTTTGGAATTTCACCCCCTCTCCCAGAGACACGGGCGATGGCCGTGAGGATGTCAAACCGTATTCTCGAGAAGCGTTTGATGTGCAAACAGAACTGCTCTCGTGTTGCTTTTGCGTGAGTGATCAGAGCCCGTGGTTTCTGTGAACTGCCTATGGGGAAGCTCTTGGACATCCCAAACATGCTTCCTAGCGAAGACCGGCAAGGCTTCAAGTTAACCGCCCTCAACTGGCTGCTCCATTCTTCCTAGGCCCTGGGATGTGTCCAGAACTGATTGCACCGAGTCAGTTTACGGCCTAAGATAACTGCACCAATCCCATCCGCACTGGTGGTTTAAGCCAATGCCCCGTCCTACGCTGGAGACACCGAGGGAGAGCCATGGCCGTAAATTCCTTTGCATCACCCTTGCGTGGGGAGCATAACTTGGGGAAGGGTGGGGCGGGCAGCCAGTCGGCCAATGCCAATGACTCCAGCAGCTGGGAGTTTGGTGTGGGTATCTGCTGTAGGTTAGCCACGGGCTCGGGCTACTACCGAGCCCACTGACATCAGTGTGCGTGGGAGAGGTTTCTATCACCGTAAGAGGAACCACCACCTATAGGTTTCTACCCCCTACAGAAACAGGCCCTTCCTATAAGAGTTGGTATCACTTACTGCCCAGTTTGGCCATTTTCCTGCAGGCATGTTTTTCATCCACAAGTTGACAGCTTCAAAAATACTGTTGCCCGACAGATTTTTCATGTCAATTAGGTTGAAATTGAAGGGAAAATCTGCCTCTTGGATAAAAGTTGTTCCATAATACATCATTGTTGCTTCAATGTCTCCCTTTTCATCACCGTCAGAACCCATAAACCTACAAAGAAGTGCACAAGTACCTTTTGTGGCTCATTCTTGGTTTTCACAGAGTGGAATGAAACTCGGAATGGTGCTGGACACACTTAGAAAATAACGCAGAATTACGTTCACTTCCCTCCTCCCCGTCAAAGAAGATTAATACAGGGAAACTAGTATTTTGTAAAGGAGACAAGGAGAGAGATTTCTTGGAAATTTCTGGAGGAAAATCTAAAAGTCATTGGTAGGAGAGTAGCCAGTGATCCTTCCCCTCTACTCTGCACTGGTGAGGCCACAGCTGGAGGACTGTGTCCAGTTCTGGGCTCCCCAGTACAAGAGAGACGTGGACATACCGGAAAGAGTCCAGCAAAGGGCCACGAAGACTGGAGCATCTCGCTCGTGAGGAGAGTCAGAGCTGGGACTGTTCAGCCTGGAGAGGTCTCAGGGGGCCTCATGGTCGTAGATAAGTATCCGAAGGGAAAGTGCAAAGGCGAAGGAGCCAGGCTGTTCACAGTGGTGCCCAGTGACGTGACCAGAGGTGATGGGCACAAACTGAAACTCGGGAGGGTCCCTCCGAATACCAGGAAATACTTTTTCACTGTGAAGGTGGCTGAGCACTGGCACAGGTTGGCCAGCGAGGTTGTCCAAGGATGGATACGTTCAAAAGCCACCTGAGCGTGGTGCTGGGCAGCCAGCCCCAGGTGGCCCTGCTTGAGCAGGGGGTTGGGCCAGACGACCTCCAGTGTCCCGTCCAGCCTCAACCCTTCTGTGATTTTAACAAGCTCTGACTACGTGCCTGACACAAACTGTGCTATTAACACTCTACAGCAAATCAGCCACCGAGCTGGTTAATTACAGTGTCTGTGCTCCACGCAGGTTGCCCATTCTGTTGCCTTACGTGCAGTCCGTAGGCACAGCAGAGCTACCAGGGCCAATTCATTTCCTTTCCCTCACACACTGGGGAAGATACACGCACCACTGTTTGCATTTGAGGAAGAAAACATTTTACGGCATATTATTTTTGAAAAAACCCAACATCTTATTGCTAGCAAGAGGGTGACAACTGTCAGAGAAAAATTTGTTAGGTGTAATAATGATTACCTGTATCTGCCAGGCTCACTGCTGAACTGATTCATGGTTTGACGGAAGCTACGGATGATGTCATGCATACCAACTTGTGTGGTTGTGTAGTCATGGTAGAGCTGGGAATAGGCGGTGATACTCTCCTTAAAAAAAACAAACAAACCACCAAACAGTATTTCCCATTAGTTCACCAATATTTTAGATTTCAGGGCTCTCCACATTCTTCCCGTCCTTTCCCGAGACAGTGCACCAGTCCAGATAAATGTGGTGTCAGGTGAGTTTAGCATTCCAGCACTAACCGTGCAGAGCTGAGCAGCACGGGGGGAACTCTAAAGATACAATAGCAGAAAGATGGTTATTGTGGATCCCACCCACAGCGCTAACCAACCGAGCCCGCTTGGAGCAACGAGCACAGCAGTGCTGGGGTCACACAGCAGGCTGGGAAGGTGGACGTTCCTGTTGTTGTAACTCAGAAGCGATGCTTGTGGAGCTGACCAGTTTTACGGAATCCCCAGCTCTGCAGGGGAACAGCGTCCTAGTGCTGGCACTGTCTGGGACCGTCACTACCTCAGCAAAAGCAAATAGCATAAATAACAGGGTGGCATGCTGGCCGCCTCTCATTGCGACAGACGGCCAAGACGGGGCTTTTTAGGTTTACTCTGGTTCCCACTAGCAGTGTAGAGGGCGGCATGCTAGTGACTGCTGCGGGATCCCAAGCAGCAAGAGCCCTGAGCTTAGCTGCTGTGGTGGGCTCCCCAGAGACAAGCAACCTTGAGATTAAAATCACAGGACTGGTCTTTTTAGGATACAGACCGAAGAGCAAATTATTTTAAACAGAAAATTCAAGAGGAACAGCGCCAGAACAGAATTACAAAGTGTATATGGACAATTCTCCTCACACCCACAGCGCTCCTGAGGTATCTCACTGACCTACACCCTCAGCCCAGGGGCTTCTTTCTAGTACGTGCTCCTGCAGAGTGCCCAGGAGCCACCTGCCTCCCAAGGGACACGGCTAACTCCGTCTTCCTAAAGCCATACTTAAGACCCCAGAGAGTAAATACAGACTCTGTTGCCCCAGTGGGAAATACGGGGGAAAAAGCAAAGGCAGAACATATACATTACGGGATTCTGGGTCTTGTTCACTTGAGGCTCATCTCGGAGATGCGTTGCTTCTAAAAGGAATTTAACAGCGCTGAAACTAAATCCATCAATTCCTTTGCCAAGCCAAAATTTGATAATATCCTAGACAAAGGTAAAAGTTGAGAATGCCAGGTGAGCCCATCCTGTTCAAAATAGCATGTACTTAAAAAAACCCTAAACCTGTTAGTAGGTATTAATACATAACAATTCATTATTGAATTTATACTTCAAATTTATTAGAAGTTAAAGTGAATCATATCAAACTAAGGTCTAGATAGAGCATGGCTTATTGTCTCAGCCAGCACAGAGAAGAGAGACTGGTCTATAGCTTCTCCTGTAATGCACAAGGCCAGAGCCAGGGCACGACTCGCTAACAGCGTGTCTCATCCATCCTTTTCTAGTCTCAGCCATCACAACAATCGGGCTGGTGCCGGGTGCTTTTGGTGGCGAACACCCATCACGGCTGCACACAAGCGGAACACACCGATTCGAATACGCAAGAACGTGTCATTCCGCACGGACCTTGTGTCACCGGTTTTCTTATATAACAAAGCTCTTAAAGCCTTTGTGCTCTCTTATTTGACTGATGTGAAAATGTTATTTTCTTTCCAGGCTTACTTGTTGATTTGCAGGAACATGAAAAATTATTATCCAAGTGTCACGGTTTAACTCTGTCTAGCAAAATA